ATAAATGTGCGTTGCCTTACCACTGGGGTGGCTATACATCCGTGTATTAAACTGAAACCATGTTATTATATTACAAAAAAAAATTTAGGCATGCACTTCATCTTCTTCCCTGCGCGCGTTTACAGTGAGAACAACAACATTTTTGAATTTGTGAACTTGTATATTTCTCAGCCATTCTCAAAACTTCAAACATCAAACTTGTTAGAAATTTCACCATGATTACAAATATGTAAATAACTTAAGCAATGGATCAAAGATGAACACGAACTTTAAATGGTACCAAATCTGACCTAATTTTTTCAGATATTCAAACTTAAAATTCTCTAAGCTCAGGCAAAATAAATGAAAATTATGGATATGTACAGCTTTAGGGCAATGATATCTACATTTTGTCTTTGAAAATACAAGCCTAACAATGCCTAAATAAAGAGATGGAAGTTCAGAAAAATACCTCAAAAACTGGAAATCGTGAAATGAGTTTGAGCTTGTTTCAAGTGATGGTGATGATCAGGTTAGCTTCCTCAAGTTCCTAGGAAGCTAATGCAATGCTTAGCTTGAGCTATGGATGGCTGGAATGGTCTGGAGAAGTCAAGATGCAAGCTCTATTTTTTGGTTATGGAGGAAGGTGATGGAGATGTTACAGTCGTGTAACAGGGTGTGAGATTGTTTGTAGATGATGTTTAGGAACTTTTGGAAGTGAAAGGTCAAGAAATGCACGAGTGGATTAGGTGTTTTGGATTTCTGGCCAGAAAGTGAAACAATGGATGTTGTTTATGCAATCTTGACTTTGAGAGGGTTTTAGGGCTTAAGAATTCTTGTGTTAGCTTGCGAATGGTGTATGTATTTATAGGCAAGAGGTTTTGTGTACTACAACACGTCAAAATTTGAAAAATCAAGTTGTAAAACCTTTACTTGTTTTTGAAGCAACCATGACAAACATCTTCCCAAAGCTTGTACCATACTATTGTAGAGTGGTTGAACTTTAAATAGGCTTGCTTATGACTTATAGATGTTGTGTGTGTAAAAGGAACAAGTGCAAAGCTCAGGACAAGTTGACTTTGCATAAAGCTTTCTTTTTCAAAATGGAAGTGGTGACTTTCTTCCTTAAATGGCAAAGTGTATTGGACAAAGCTTAAATCAAGTGGTTCATAGCTTAAAAGCTTGTGCAATCTTCTGATTAAGGATAAATACACAAGTTAGAGGGCCTGAAAAGTGGGATTATGCAGCATTGCTTGGAATTGGATCAAATGTTCATCATGAAAATGACTTGAAAAACAAGTTTGAAACCCTAACTTCTTGCCTTCGATTCTCTTAGCTAAAGTATGATATCAATGAGTTCTTGGACATTTTGGAAAGCTTGTAACATTACCTACAACCTTTATATTGGACATTTTTGAAGATTTAATTTGGAACTAGGTGAAAATTTTCCATAAAGTTAGGTCAAAATCCTGCCTAACTAGGGCAAAATTTCACTAAGTCTTTTAGTTTCATGCACATGTCTTCATAAATTCATAACTTGAAATCCAAGCATTTCTAGAAAAAGTTCAGACCTTCAATGTTTTAGATCTCATTGAGATCTACAACTTTCATATTGGAAGTTTTCCTTGAATCATCTTGCATCATGGTGGAAATTTAGCACAAAGTTATGAAAAATGTTAATTTTCCAACACTTAGAAAAATTTCTAAGTCTTAGAATTTTGACTTTTCAAAGATAACTTTGACTTTTTGATTTCTTGATGAACAAATTTCATATTTTTACATGTCTTGATGAAATATGATTTTTGAAACTTGATTTTGATCAAAAAGTCAAACTTTGACTTTTCAGTGTACAGTTGACTTTTTATCAGTTGACTGAAATTCATCTGTCAATCCAATGATCTTGAGAGGTGATTTGAACTATGAAATTAGGTCAAGATGGTGCATTTGAATCCTTTAGATCATGCCTTAAACCAATAAGTCATTTTCTTAGTCAAAAGTCAAGAACTGGGCCTTCTCAATCAAAACCCTAATTTTGACCATTTTGCCCTTTTGATGTTCTGATCAAATTTCTTTGAGAAATTATGATCCAAACTTGATCAATTGACATATATGAGTTCATGATATTGATATGGATCAAAAATCATGAAGTTTGACTGTAAATTGACCACAATTGACTTTTTATCCAATACAACTAATTTTAGGTCATCTGATCAAATGACTGAGCAATTTTGTGATTCAAGACTTGAAATTTGACATGATAAATTTTGAGGGTTCCTAATGATCTATGAAATTCATTTGAGGCCTTGAAAGTCTAATTGTCCTTGTGAAAACTCAAACCCTAATTTTGAGTTGTCAGTGTTGAGGAGGTGTCTTGAGCTGATCAAACTTTGTGTAGTCTTGAATCAATGGAGAACTTATGAGAGATTTCTTGAGAAATGAGAGAGAAAATTTTGGAGTACAACAGTATACATAGTTAACGTGTGCATGTCAAACTCCTCTTTGAGAAAGTTGAATCCTTATTGTCTTTCCAACTTCTCTATAGACTTTCTTTGAGTTTGATCCAAGTAGCTCGACCAAAAACTTCACTTTTTCTCTTTGATAACAGGTGTGTGGTTAAGGAGACGTCCATGGAAATGTAGATGCAAAAGACATGACATATTGTCAAGTGTTACTGTTATTTCCTCAACTATAAGGTAAAAGGTGTTCGTCTCCTTGTGCCACCTCTCTAAGAAGGCTTTCAGTAAGTCATTACCAATTATGTTGAACATAGTGGTGGAGAGGTCTGCTAGCCCATTTCCTTAAATGGCATCACTAAACCAATCATTTTCTAGAATTTTAATAGCGGTGATTTTCTTCTCATTAAAAATATATTTAAGGGGTCTATCACATAACTGAAAAGATAATGAAATTAATTGGAAGCGGCCCGCAGCGACATCACGTTGATGGAGGCTCCAGGGTCCCGTGGTAGCTTTCTTTCTTTCCCTGATATCACCGATGAGATAAAATAAGATAATTTCTTAATCCACTCCATAGGGTTGAAAAACACCCTGTGAAATTCTGAAAATGTCCTCCGATTTCCGAAAATGTATTTCCAGGTCGCACCCAAATTCATACAATTCTTTCATTTTTGAGATACGTCTCATATTACGATTTAATTATTCTAGAAATTCTCAAAAATATATTTCTGATACATACTCATGCATGCTGAATGAATGTCTAACTAACTAAGTAGATCTTTGATTGAGATTGGGACATACCTTTTATTTCACTGTATAAACGTGTGGTTATATATAGTGTGTGGTTGTGAGTTGATAGTACACATTTCAACATTGATTCAAAATAATATTTAAGCTCATATACAAATTTGAAATGTGTTTTTTCTAAAATCTGGTTTGACTGATTCTTTTTATATTAAAAATTGAATCTAATTGCATATAGAAATTTTAGATTAAATTATAATTTTGATTTCATTTTAGTTATTCGTGAAATTAATTTCAATCTTATTTTTCATGTGATTTATATTTATTTTTTAAACTCAAATTTATTTTTTTTTTTTAAAAATTAGAAGGAAAAATAATGTTCCATTCTCTTTCAATCTTCTTCGTCCTTCTTGAAACCCAGACATAAATGCAAGCAGATTTAAAAAGTAAAAACAAAGTCATCACAATTTTTCTTTCCCTTTATCTCTTTCTTCTTCATCCCTTTTTCATCTCTAGCGTGTTCAGACCCTATGAGTAGGTATTAGAAATACATTTTCGAAAATTTCTGAAAATGCATTTCTAAAATATATTAAGTCGTACCTTCTTCATCTCTATAGTCTGTTTAGACTGCATGAGTAGATACGGAAAATATATTTTTGGAAAATTTCGGAAATGTATTTCTAAAATATGTTAAGTCGTAAATTAAGAGTGTATTTTAAAAACAAAAAAATTATATGTGTAGGATACTTCTGAAAATATATTTCCGAAAATCAATAGTATTTTTGGAATTTTGCGTGGGACTAGAAAACTATTGAGTGAGTTTCGAAATCCCCTAAAATAAAGGAGCCGCTTATGTATGCTTCTTCCTGTATAACAAGATGTATTCTGTCATAAGGTTATATCTCCACTGTGAACTTTCTTCATTGGTGCTTCCATGTACTTATCTTCGATGCTTTGAACTTCCACCCTGTTAACATGTAGGGCGTATTTTTCTTTGCTTCCTTCCTACTACTAAGCTGCGAGTACTACAAACATGAAACAAGAATTAAACATAAAATAATCAGAGGCGTAACATACCCCACCCTCCCAAATATCTTTGAACATGTATACGTCATAATAACAAATACAATCTTTGAACATGTATTCTTCATAATAACAAATACAGATGTGTCATACTGACTTTAGATATACTCTGGATTGGTCGCTTGTTCCTCAAGCACCTCCGCTTCAAGCATCTCCAGTTGAAAACTATAACCATTCTTTTTTTTTGGTTCAATTATTTTTGTTTTTTAGCTTTATGCCATAATCCACTAACAAGTTTACGTTTGCAATGGCTGCAAGGAGTTCTTGTTGTGCTGATGCACAATCTCACTTTTATGAAACTCCGCAAACTTGACTTCACATAAATTATTATTACAAAATAATAAGAATCGTACAAAAATATTGATGCCATGGAAGCTAAAAATATTGGTGTAGAAGCCTAGAAGGGTGTTTTTTAGACTCTGTAGAAGGGTGATACTCCACTAACAAGTTGCAATACATGAGCCGTAGATATTTCCTTATTTAAAACACAACAATAAACATATAATACAACATTCATTCTATTCATGTTTAGAACAACATTCTCGATTTTCATCTGAAAATTTAAACTTATGAAAGGTCTCGTGTGTGTAAATTCATCAATATATATGAACATAATGTAACACCTTCTAGTCCTCCTTCAATAAATATCCACAAATTAAACTAATAAAAGGAATAAAAAACTACGAGCTTGAACAAAGGAGGACTTTGCACCATGAAGTAGCAACCTTGATTTCATCATCACCCAGATGTTAATGAATTCAGCTTCTTTTCATACATTTTGGAACGTCGAAGAGCATCTAAGGCTTCAGCTTGTTTTCCTGATCGTTTCAAACTAACAGCTTTCAGCTTTTCTTCTTTGATTCTTTCTTCTAGCTGAATTTTCTCTTGGTTAGAGTTTTCAATTTTGGCAACAGATTTCACAGTCTCTTGTTTTTCGGGGCTTTTTTTGGATGCAACACTTAGACCTTCAAGTCCAACAGATTTCAAAGCAGATAAGAGTTGAGGATCAAGAAAATCCTCGACGGTCACATCATCTACTGCATCTGATTTATTGGCATCATGAGCAGCCAACTCCTCCAACTGTGTTTCAATTGCCTTTGCGCGTTCAAACTCGGCTTCAGCTTCCTCTGTTCGGCCATCTCTCCGTAGCTTTAAGGCTTGACGTTTGTGTGCCAGAGACTCCTGCTGCAACTTGAAACGGTCACGACTAGTCAATGGCTTTGCAGCAGCACTTGGTGAATCTTGTTTCTTTTGCACAGCATTTGATGCGTTGGAAACATTGCTGGTGGAGGCGGTGTTTGGCTGTACATTTCCATCCTCCAACCTCTTCTCTAACAGCTTGGCCTGTCGGAGTTCGTCCCTGGCTTCTGTTAGTTTCCCTTCTCTTTTCAAAGCAATTGCTTTCCTTTTATGAGCCAAAATTTCTTGACGCAAGGAAGGGTCATCTTGAGAAGCATAATCTGGAACAGCATTTGACTGGCTTGTGTTTGATTGGTTTTGGCTGAGATTCGCTGAGGAGTCCAAATGAATAGTAGGACCAGCTTGAGATGAACTTGCTGAGCCAGCTTTATATTCTTCATTTTGTTTTTTAGACAACATTTCAGAACTGCTGCAACCATCACCAGTAAGTAAATCTGGCATATGCATAGAATGACCAGTTGAGGACCTATGACCATTGATTTTTTCCACTTTCATCTTTTTTGCAAGATTTTCACTTGAAGCACTCACCTCAGAAGATATTGGATGTTTATCGTCTGCAAAATGAGAGGTTGCGGGACTTGGGTTATCTGATTCAACACTATTCTTAAGTGAACCAGCCACGGATGAGGCTAAATTGTTACCGACTTCAACAGCAACTCCCCAACTTCCATGTCTTACCTGGAAATCAGACGATTCAGACGGAACAGACTTTTTATCCAGGGAAGCATTCAGTAACGAGTCCTTGTTTTGGCTCTCAAAATCTTCCATTTGGGCTTCCAGATTCTTAGCCATCTTTAAAATGTCATCAGCCTCTTCTATTTCCCCCTTGCGCCTCAAAGCAAGTGCCTTCCTTTTCAACACTAAGAGTTCTTTTTGAATCTCTCCTTTGTTCCTTTTAGTCATAACAGTGCTAGTAGCTTGCTTAACTGGTTCTTCTTTTATGGACACGGGCTCAAATCCATCATCTTTCCACCCTAGATTAGTAAGCATTGAATTCAATGTTGGGTCGTGCATATCCTCTTCGGAAACATCCACATCCCTTTCTTCATCAACTGCCGTGTCAACTGGAGAATTAAAGAGTTCTTTCTTCATAGGAGCCTCAACCTGCACTTTATTCTTCAGAGCATCCATCTCTTCTATCTTTGCTTCTAATGTTTTGGCCATTTTAAGAACTTCTTCTGCATCTTCAGCTTTTCCTTCCCGCCTTAGAGCAAGGGCCTTTCTTTTTAAGCTCAAAAGTTCCCTCTGAAGTTCAGCCTTACTTCTTCTTGGTGCTTCAAAGAGGATATCTGTAGAATGCTTACTTAGAGAAGTATCATCGATTGGAATAAAATTATCATCATATTTCTTTAAAGGCTTGTTCGAAGAATTAGAAGGTTTATCATTGTCATCATTCCAACCCAAGTCTGTAAGGAGTGAAAGATATGTTGGATCAGACATATCTTTATCTGTTACATCATCTTCACTTCCTTCCTCAACTGGCGGATTTCTACTTGCTGCATGCAAGACATTATTAGTATTCATCAATGATGATTTATGACTCAGAGCATTATCCATCTCCATCAGTTGATGCTCAAGAGCTGCACCCTTGCGCATTTCTTCTTCTGCTTCATTCATTTTCCCTTCCCTTTTCAATGTGAGAACCTTCTTTTTCGAATTCAAAAGCTCTCTCTGAATCATCAACCGGCTTTTGGGTGCCACCGTGGAAGTGGCATTGTTATTTCTCTCATTACCGGTAACTTCAGAACTCACAATTTTCCTAACAGGAGTGAATTTTTTTAACATGGTACTATCGTCATCAGAGCCAATGTTGTTAAGGTCCCTTTCCAATAGCTTTGACTTTTTCAATAATGCCATTGCTTCTTCAGTGTTACCAGCTCGCTTTTGACTAACAGCCTCTCTTTTCAATGACTGAATTTCACTAAGCAACGCTTCTTTGTCAAAGGTTTGAGATTTGGAAAATGTATTTTCAGGTTCAGTCCAACCCAGTGATTCCAAAGCACCGGCCAACTCAGGGTCCATCAAATCCTCGTCGGTCACTTCTAAATTGCCATCAAGATTATCAGAAATGGCCAAGAGATTACCAAAATCAAAATCATGCTCACGATCATGCAGATTTGAAAATTCTTTATCATCATCCATGCCACGTATTAATGCTGACAGCTCATCATCAGAATCTTCAGCATCACCAAGGAGTTCTTGTTCTTCCAGTTGCTTTTCTAAAATTTTAGCTCTTTTTAATTCCTCTTTAGCTTCTACAAGCTTACCTTCACGCTTTAGCGTTAGAGCCTTCCTTTTCATGGCAACAACCTCAGACTTGTCGATCCTGCTGACCTTTTCTTCACCTGTTTTTGCAAAGGTTTCTCCAATTAATGATGAGAGTTCACCCTCCAAGGTCAAATTTGCTGATTTTTTATCTTCCTTGTGTAGATCCAATTCAGACCATCCCAGTTCTCTAAGTTCTGAAGTAAGATCATCCTTATCCTTATCAATCTTAGGAAGTGACTTCATTTTCCTGCCGGATTCTACAGGAACATCTTTGGTATGCATATCAGACACGCTTTCAGAAGGCAACACCTTCTTCCGAGCCGCCTTTCTTAGCTGAATTTCCAAAGCATCTGCCTGCCTCTCAAGCTCCTTCCCTCTCTTAAAAGCTCTCAAGGCTTCATTAGACTTCCCATCTCCTTTTAGAATTTTATACCTGCTTTTTTCTGCTATAGCTTGCTGGCGTAACGCATCAGGAGTGGTGGATTCAACATCAATACCCAAACTATGAATCTTTTCAGTTGATACAATCTTTTGTATATCTTCATCGTCATGAATGGAAAATCCTTTAGTACTTGAAGAAGATGCAACACCAACTGATCTTTGGCCACTACGACCTTTGTCACTGGTTGACTGTATCCCTGATGAGAGGGGCTCCTCATTTTGACCAAGAATCTGGCTCAAAATTTCATCTTCTTCTCTAGGTGCTGATTTCAAGCTTCCTGGAGAAATTGGAGTCAATATTCAAAAGAATGGTAACAAAGAAAGCAAAATGAAGGAGTGATACTCTAACACAAACAAGCACGGGTCAAAAATTGAAAGTCGTAATTTTAACAAAAATAGGGGAATACATACCTCTCCCAGTCCTGCGCCCCTGTCGCAACTCAAACCGTGCTGCCTCTTCAAGCTTCTTACAAGGTTCACATATCCGTACAGGCGAATCACCCTGTCCACGTAAAGCCATTCTTTGTTGGGTACAACTGCCGCAAAACAGGCCCCCGCACCTTCTACAGTGATGCTGAAAAATAATAATAAATTTTCCAAAATTTAATTTGGACAAAAGATTCAGTTATAGTTCAATCAGATTATAACAAGCAAACATGAAAGATCACCTTCCTGTATCTAGTATCTCATTTTTCGTATAAACTCGTTTAATTAAGAAACAAATTTAACTTACACTTTAACTAAAGATTCCATGAAGCTTAAATTTTGATAAAAACAATTAAAACTGGGTAACATAGAAAACATAGTGAGTTATCTAATCTAAGGGAAGCTACATGTGCAATTAGAGATCGAAATATGTCGACCACTCAGCCATGGCCTTCTGACTTAATCCATCAGGAAAAAAAAAGTAAAAATAGTACGTATTAGGTGGTCTAAAATATAAGCAAATCACAACTAATTTTTACCATATGTAATGTTATCATTTCCAAAATACCCTTTAATTAGTATTTTCATGAAGCAAATTGCCATAGAAAACTAAATGAAGAGACGACGTAGATGAATAGTATGTATCAAACCCAGACCAAACCAAACTTATGTACTCAATAAACTAGGTCAAGGCTTTTTTCAAAAGTCTATTCAGCTAAAAAAGACAATATTTCAAACCGTCTAAAAACCCTTAAACCTAAGAAAAGCAACCTACTCAAGTATATAGTGATCCTATGAACTTAGTGATAGCCTTAATTGCTTATTTAAAGACCTTATTACATATAGTTGAGTCCAGCCTATCTCCACTTATGCATGCTTTGCACAAGGGTGTGGAACAAAAACAGTATCACTCGGCATGAAAAATTGATCCTCACTAACTTCACATTAATTAATAGGAGACTAAAACTCGTAACTATGCTTCTTAGAGATGAAAAATCCTATGTTAACCATAGCGTCATAGAGCAAAGAAAATTAATAAACTATTTGACTATAGTCTTGACAGCATGAAATTACTATTGTTAATGCAACTACAATAAGTAGCATCTAAGCTGGGATTAAACTAGCAGCAATCTACTTCATTGTTTCTCTGAACGTTCAAGCACCGACATTTCTGAAAAACGGTGTGTCCGAAATCAACACAGGTTTTTTTTTCAAATTATTACCGGTGCCAACGTATCAGTGTGTCTCATTTCCGGTGTCGGTGCTTTGTAGGTTAGAACACTAAAATCAACTAATAATAATAAGAAAACCAGCCAGCACAACCAGATCATACGAAATGTTGACTCATAATTATACAAAACCTTTTTTTACTGGGAAAATATATACCATCTTAGTGAGAGCTTACAATCTCAGTGAGAGTTTATTGGATCCCCATGAAAAAAAAAACTAAACATTCTAGAGATAAATAAAATCATGAGTTTTCTCTTAAATTGAAAAAAGTTCAAACAGTAAACGGCATCCCTTTCCCCACACCACAAACAAAAAGGGTGAGTAATCGGATCATCGTGATACATAACTTGAAGAAGTTGAAATCGAAGAATGAAGAATGATAACAGGATTAACCTTGCGATTGATGAAGGTGAATTGGGCGGAACATCCCTGACAATTAGACGCATCAACGACCCAATTATTCCCTCGGAGCGAGGGCTTTGGTGGCAACCCGATCTTCTCCAACATGTTGCTCTATATCTATCGATCTCGAAGACTCGGAAAATATAAGAATGGATCAGAAATAGTGTTGGCTATGGAGTGGAAAAGTGATGAAATAGTGAGGAGGAAGAAGAAAATCGATGATGACGATGAGAAACCGAGTACAGAATTTCGTTCCACGCACTACCATTGATGATGGTTAGTTTTTATTGGATTTTGATTTTGTTGGGGTTTCTGTTTGCACCCCTATTAGTTCTATTAGAACTCTCTCTATCTCCTTAAATTTAATATTTTAAAATAGTATTACTTTTGGTCTTATTTATAAAAGAAAATTAACTTTTTATTGAATAATTAATGTATTTAAATAAATATTACTTATTTAATTAATTTAAAAAATAATAATATTATTTTTAGTTTTATTTATAAAAGAAAATTAATTTTTTAAATATATTAAATAATTAATGTATTTAAACAAATATTATTTATTTAATGAATTTAAAAATACTTTTTCTAGTCCAATTGTTAAGAAAAAATTTATTTTTATATTTATTAAATAATAAATATATCTGGTTTATAAATTGTTCAGATACATTATTTATTCAATATATTTAAAAAGTGAATTTTTTTATAAATAAAAATAGAGATAGTAAATTTTTTCTTAAGACTCGAGAAAATAACTTTTTTTTTTAATTATGCTTTCAATTAATCAATATTATTTATTTATTTTTTATTAATTAATATAATGCATGTTGTTCACTATTTAAATATTAAATATGAATAAGTGAAATGTTATGGATTTAAATCAGAATAGTGACATCTATTATTTTTGTATAACTATCAATTAAGATGACTTAACGAGATCAATATTATTCATTTATATTTCTCTTAGTAAAAATTAAATTATATTCCATAAATAATATAGTATCAATGATATCATCTCCAATTTTAATACTCTCTCCGTCCCAAATTATAACTCTCAAATTATAAGAGAAATTCACTTTTTAAATTTATTGAATAACTAATGTATTTGGTCTATATATAGACCAGATACATTAATTATTCAATGAATTTAAAAAGTAAATTTCTCTTATAATTTAGAACACAGAAGTATTATTTACATCCTTTCCAAAAACTTTTTTTTTTTTTGGAATTTGATCTTTAGCGATCGTTTTGTATATAGAGTTTTTTGAATTAATCAAAATTTATTATTTCAAAAAGAACAATATTTTAGATTTGTATTTTACAAACTTAGTTTTTATTTGATTTTTTAGAAGCCTCTTTTATTTTTTTAATAAACATATTTAATATAATTTACAAATATTTTAGCTCTTATATTTATTAATTACTCGTGATTTGGCTGACCATAAACATATTAATGGTAAGATATTTTTACATGGCAAAAATATTTTTGGTGTAGTTTATTTTCATTTCAATTTTATTTTAGAAACTTTTTAGTAGTTATCACACTAATTTTATTTTTTCATTTTTATCTTAACTTTCGTAAATATTTTTTCTCTATAATAACTTCCTTCTTTCATATTTATTTTAACATTCACTAAGAAATATTATATATATTTTCACGTGTTCGCATTTTTTTTTTTAACCAAAAGGTCAAAGTTCAAAGATATATTGATGGAGAGAGAAATAAAAATGAGGGGATTAGGTCAAAACCTAGAGACTTATAAGATGTAAAGTTAGACAAACTATGCAAGTTTCTAATTTATGCATTGTTAATGTCATTATGAATGTTATCCCACCACGTATAGATTCTAATTAAAATGTCAGCACATTGATTACCTTCCGGATAAATATGGGAGGCAAAAAAATTAATAGAAGTGATGCCTCGGAAACAGTTGTGTCATCTGTTAGGAATCTTCCAAAGTACCGAGAGGGAGTTGGAGAAAGCTTTGATAACAAGCAAAGAATCAGTTTCTAATCTAAAGAATTGCCGCAAGAAAGCCATGCCATGCTCCATAAGATGAATAGCACCCATAAGTTCTACAAACAAAGCATCCCTCTGGCCCAAAAAACAAGAAAAATTCCCCAAATGGAATCCGCTATGGTCACCAAACAAAACACCGTACGCAGCCAGATTCGCCATCGATACCCCATCACAGTTATCTTTAAACCAAAATCTCAACAGAGGAACAGGAACCCAAATAACTTCTTCATCACCCTCGGTCTAGGCGGTATAATAGAAAGACGGGATACTTTAAGCAGCCTAAAATCATCCATATTATTCACAGAATGAGACTTAAGTGCTTTACCGGTAAGAGACACTTGGGAGAAAACACGAGAAGCCGAGATTTCCCATCTAACAACCGAATACTAAAATCTAGATTTGTTTCTCGTCTTCCAAATAACAGCAAGGACATTAGAAATACCAGTCAGGAGGATAATTTTAGCCATTTTTGAACCACAACTACTCAAAAGCTGTCAGCAGTCTTCAATAGCAGTAATAGTAGTCGTACGAGTCAAAGTGCTAAACCAATCCCAGAGAAACTTGGCATACTTACACTCAAAGAAGACATATGAGACATTTTCTGAAGCTTTCGAACAGAGGTTGCACATAGAAACAGTGGACAAGCCTCTTCCACTCAAGTATTCGTCTGTAGGCATCTTGTTACGGATGATTCTCCAGAACAGAAAAGATGTAGAGAGCGAATATTAACGTGTCAAATTAGATTTCCCCAGTGGCCTGGTCGAGAAGTACTTGAAAAGTGGGAATATGCACGTTGCAGGTTCAGAACACCATCTTGGACGGGACACCACACACGAACATCTTGCAGATGGACAGCAACCACTATATCTTGATCCTTACAGTAGACCAGGGAGAAGTATTCGTCTGTAGGCATCTTGTTACGGATGATTCTCCAGAACAGAAAAGATGTAGAGAGCGAATATTAACGTGTCAAATTAGATTTCCCCAGTGGCCTGGTCGAGAAGTACTTGAAAAGTGGGAATATGCACGTTGCAGGTTCAGAACACCATCTTGGACGGGACACCACACACGAACATCTTGCAGATGGACAGCAACCACTATATCTTGATCCTTACAGTAGACCAGGGAGAAGACTGCGGATAGACAGAGGCAGAGTGATCTTCGAATGATGGATAATAGAACTGAGCATAGAACGTAAATGTCGGTGAAGATCTTTGGGAATGTTTAGCAACTCCACAAGAGGCTTACCACACCAGTTATCAATCCACGAGTTTATGCGGGAACCGTTACCAACCAACCAATCAGAATTTTCCTTGAATTCCTAAAAATTATGTTTCATCTGTTGAAATAAAAACATTAAATGGGTTAGAAATAAATAATTGGGAATTAACTATGGAAGTAGGAAAGACAATCGTTTTTTTAGTAGTTATGTAGCAATTATGTTTAATTTAATTTACTGTTTTAGAATTGTAATAGTTTTTTGTTTTGAGTCTACAAAAGACCAAGAGTGTGTAATTTATCAAAAAAAGAGCAATATACAAGAAGTTAGAAAGTACACAAAGTCTGATTCTTATTTTATTTGATCAAATTGGCATCAGAGCTAATGGCGAATATGATGAACCAAATGCCGTTACCACGGCTAACGAAGTCCAACTATGAAAACTGGAGCATCCAAATGAAAGCTCTTCTTGGATCTCTAGATGCGTGGGAAGTGACCAATGATGGGTTTGAAGAACCAACAGAAGTTGGAGGATATACAGCAGCCCAAACGAAGGCGTTGAAGGAGTTGCGAGCGAAGGACAAAACAGCACTATATATGTTGTTCCGGACTGTGGATGAATCAGGCTTTGAGAAGATTGCTAGTTCGACTACGTCGAAACAAGCGTGGGACACACTAGAGAGGGTGTTCAGAGGAGCAGACAGAGTGAAGCAGGTTCGACTCCAAACGCTTCGTGGCGAATTGGAGAGGATACAAATGAAGGATACAGAAAATGTATCAGATTACATCACCCGTGTGCAGAAAGTGGTAAATCAACTCACAAGAAATGGAGAAACAGTGGCTGATGCAAGAGTTGTTGAAAAGATCTTAAGATCTTTAACAGACAAATTCGAAAATCTGGTGTGTGCTATAGAAGAATCGAAGGATCTTTCGACGCTCTCAATCGAAGAGCTCACTGGTTCGCTCGAAGCACATGAACAAAGAAAGATGAAGAAGAAAGAAGAGGCAGACGAAGAAGCAAACCAAACAAAAGAATCGAAAGATGAAAAAGTACTTTTCTCGAACAACTTTCGAGGAAGAGGACGTGGACGTGGAGGACGTGACAGTGGTCGAAGTGGTAGAGGCAGTAACTTCGAAAGAGGAAATTCGAGCCAACAAAACTGGCGTGGCAGAGGACGTGGCCAAAGAGGTGGTCGTTCGAATTACTCAAATTTCGAATGCTACAAGTGTGGCAAGTATGGCCATTACGCGAAGGATTGCAATTCCTACAAATGTTACAACTGTGACAAAGTAGGACATCTTGCAAAAGACTGTCGAAATGAAAAGAAAACTGAAGAGACAACAAATCTGGCCCTGGAAGCAGAATCGAATGAAGGGTTCCTCCTGATGGCCCAAAACGAAATCAACACCAATGACAGTATTTGGTATCTTGACTCAGGAGCAAGTAATCACATGTGTGGTTACAAACACCTGTTTAAAGATATGAAGGGAGTTGAAGATGGCAGCGTGTCTTTTGGAGATGCATCGAAGGTGAAAGTTGAAGGAAAGGGCACAATCAGCTATTTGCAAAAGGATGGCTTGATTGGGTCAATCGAAGATGTCTACTATGTACCAGATCTTAAGACCAACATATTAAGTCTGGGACAGCTCACTGAAAAGGGTGCTTCGATCCTGATGAAAGATCGAACACTGCAGTTGAAGGATAAAGCAGGATATCTGATTGCTGCTGTCAAAATGGAGAGAAATCGAATGTACAAACTTAATTTGAGGAACATTCGAGAGAAATGTCTGCAGATCGAAGTACAAGACAAAGCGTCATTGTGGCACATGCGCTTTGGTCACCTACATCATGCTGGTCTGAAAAGGTTGGCGAAGAAGAACATGGTGCATGGATTGCCAAACATGGAGTTCGAAGGAAAATTCTGTGAAGAATGCGTGCTCAGCAAACAAACCAGAACATCATTTCAGAAGAAGGCAGAGTATCAAGCCAAACAGATACTCGAATTGATACACACTGATATCTGTGGGCCAATTACCCCAGAATCATTCAGTGGAAAAAGATACTTCATCTCCTTCATCGATGACTACTCAAGAAAAACCTGGGTCTATTTTCTGAAAGAAAAATCTGAAGCACTCGAAGTATTCAAGAAGTTCAAAGTGATGGTGGAAAAGGCAACAGATCGAAACATCAAAGCAATTCGATCAGACAGAGGAGGAGAGTATACTTCGATTGCCTTTGTAAAATACTGTGAAGAACAGGGGATAAGAAGATTCCTTACAGCGCCATATTCACCTCAGCAAAATGGTGTGGCTGAAAGGAAGAATCGAACTATCTTTGACATGGTTCGATCAATGCTTAAAAGCAAGAGTATGCTGAAAGAGTTCTGGGCAGAAGCAGTACAATGTGCTGTTTACATTCAGAATAGGTGTCCACATTCGAAGCTAGAAGACAAAACACCACAAGAAGCATGGAGTGGTCAGAAGCCAACAATCTCCCATCTCAAAGTATTTGGTAGCATAGCTTATGCGCATGTACCAGACCAACGAAGAACAAAGCTCGAAGACAAAAGCCAGAAGTTCATATTTATTGGATATGATGAGAAGACGAAAGGGTACAAGCTGTTCAACCCTATAAGCAAGAAAGTAATTGTAAGCAGAGACGTTCGAATGAATGAAGCCAGCAAGTGGGACTGGAACAGTTCGACAGAGGCTGTTGATACAGTCGAAGAAACCACTATAGCTGTACCAACTAGAATTTCAGAAGAACATGAAGAAACAGAAGAAAGAGATGAACCTCTACAACCTAAGATGAGAAGTTTGCAAGATCTGTATGAGTCAACAAGTGAGGTGCATCTTGTGTGTCTCCTGGCAGATGCTGAAAACATAAGTGTTGAAGAAGCATTAAGAGATGAAAAGTGGAAAAGCGCCATGGATCAAGAAATTAAAGCAATCGAACACAACAAAACCTGGGAGCTTGTCGAATTACCAAAAGAATGTCAACCCATTGGTGTAAAGTGGGTATTTAAGAAAAAGATGAACGCTCAAGGAGAGATCGAAAGATACAAGGCACGACTGGTTGCAAAGGGATACAAGCAGAAAGCTGGTATTGACTATGACGAAGTATTCGCGCCTGTCGCAAGAATGGAGACAATTCGACTACTCATCTCTCAAGCTGCTCAGTTCAAATGGAAAATATTTCAAATGGATGTCAAGACAGCATTTTTGAATGGTGTGCTCGAAGAAGAAATCTATGTGGAACAACCACTTGGATACATGAGAGCTGGATAAGAGAAGAAGGTGCTGAAACTGAAGAAATCATTGTATGGGCTGAAGCAAGCACCTAGGGCATGGAACACACGCATAGACACATATTTTAAGGAGAGTGGATTCGAGCAATGCCCTTATGAGCCAGCGCTCTATGTGAAGAAAAATGGAAGTGATTTATTACTTGTGGCACTGTACGTTGATGATCTCATTTTTCTAGGCAATAACATTAAGATGATCGAAGACTTCAAAAACACCATGACAAGAGAATTCGAAATGACAGACTTAGGTCTGATGAGATTTTTCCTTGGCCTGGAAGTTCGACAGGAAGAAGATGGGATTTTCATATCACAAGAAAAGTATGCAAAGGAAATCCTAGAAAAGTATAAAATGAAGAATTGTAATCCAATTTCGACGCCAATGGAGCCAGGCACAAAGCTGTCGAAGTTTGATGGAGGAGAACGGGTCGAAGGAAGCAAATATCGAAGCTTGGTAGGCAGCCTTCGATATCTCACATGCACAAGGCCAGATATTTCACTTAGTGTTGGCATAGTGAGCAGATTCATGGAGGAGCCAGTTCACACACACTGGAAAGCACTGAAACGAATTCTGAGATACATCCAAGGAACAGTATCACTTGGGATATTTTATTCAAAGACTGAAGACTACAAGCTAGTTGGATATTCTGACAGTGACTGGTGTGGAGACATTGATGATCGAAAGAGCACTGCAGGATACGTGTTTTTCATGGGAAACACAGCTTTCACTTGGCTATCGAAGAAGCAGCCAATAGTGACACTTTCAACGTGTGAAGCAGAATACGTGGCAGCATCTTGGTGCGTTTGCCATGCAGTGTGGCTCAGAAGATTGATAAGTAAGATGGAGCTGAAACTGGAAGGTCCAACAATAATACACGTGGACAACAAATCAGCTATTGAGCTGGCAAAGAACCCAGTCAATCATGAACGAAGCAAGCATATAGACGTTCGATTTCACTTCATACGTGAACATGTGAAAGAAGGAAGCGTGGAACTAAGGCATGTGGCAAGCAGAGATCAAGCAGCTGACATCCTTACAAAACCACTTGCAAGAGAAGTATTCGAAAGAGGCAGGAAGATGATTGGGATGCTGGATCGAAGAAGCATTTAATGTTTGAGGAGGAGTTTTGTTGAAATAAAAACATTAAATGGGTTAGAAATAAATAATTGGGAATTAACTATGGAAGTAGGAAAGGCAATCGTTTTTTTAGTAGTTATGTAGCAATTATGTTTAATTTAATTTACTGTTTTAGAATTGTAATAGTTTTTTGTTTTGAGTCTACAAAAGACCAAGAGTGTGTAATTTATCAAAAAAAGAGCAATATACAAGAAGTTAGAAAGTACACAAAGTCTGATTCTTATTTTATTTGATCATCATCCCTGTCCAAATTGAAGAGAGGACGTGATGCCTAATATGGCCAGCATTCCGGATGACTCTAGCTGCTAAAACCGCAGCTCATTGCCCCTGAGAATTGACAAAATCCCAACAATTTAATAAACCTGCCGCTTCTTTTAGAACAACGAAAGACTTTAAGCCAAGACCTCCCGTCTCCTTCTTCTTGCAACAATATTTCCAAGCGACAGTAACTAGCTTACGAGAATCTGTATCCCCGGACCAAATAAAGTTTCTAGACCATCTCTCAATGAACCGAAGCAAGGAAACAGGCCAAGAATATATCATCATTGTGTGCAGCAACACTCTCTGAATAACCGTCCCAACAAGAAGGACTCTCCCAGCAATACAGGAATTTAGCTTTCCACGACGTAAGCTTGCAACGAATTTTGTCCACAATAGCCTGATGTAAGATAATTTAGGCCGTGCCTTTTCATTCATGTGATAGTCATTTATATATACAGTACAAATATGTGGTTATGATTCTAATAATCATTGGTAATCAATACTAATAATAATCTTTCTATATTTACATATCTAATACACCCCCGTAGTCGAAACTGGAGGTGAACGAATGTTGAGACTATCACGAAAGTCATCAAAGAGTTGCAACGGAAGTCCCTTTGTGAAGATGTCAGCAATCTGAAAACGCGAGGGAATGTGAAGAACGCGTACTTGACCGCAAGCAACTTTCTCACGCACGAAATGTATATCCATTTCAATATGTTTGGTGCGTTGATGTTGAACAGGATTGTCGGAAAGATAAACCGCGCTGATGTTGTCACAATATACCAGAGTAGCTTTTGTGACAGGACAACATAGTTCCAAGAGTAAGTTGCGTAACCAACATGATTCAGACACAACATTAGCTACGCCTCTATATTCGGCTTCGGCACTTGAACGAGACAAGGTATGTTGGCGTTTTGCGAACCATGAGATCAAGTTGTCACCGAGATAAACACAGTAGCCGGAGGTAGATCTTCTTGTGTCAGGACAACCGGCCCAATCTGCATCTGTGTAAGAAATGAGCTTGTCGACAGATGAAGGGTACAGATGAAGGCCGAGATCTACGGTACCATTAATGTAACGAATAATGCGTTTCAAGGCAGACATGTGTTGAGTTTTTGGATCATGCATAAATAAACATACCTGCTGAACTGCATATGAGATGTCTGGTCGAGTGAATGTTAAGTATTGCAATGCTCCGGCAAGGCTACGATATTCGGTTGGATCATGGTAAGGGTTACCGGATGAACCACTGAGTTTCGCCTTTGTGTCTACTGGTGTGGGGGATGGTTTGCAGGAGGACATACCAGCTCGTTCGATAATTTCTTCTGCATATTTCTTTTGAGAAAGAAAAAGGCCTTCGGGATGTTTGGTGACAGAAATACCCAGAAAATAACTTAAAGGCCCCAGATCCTTCATGGAGAATTCGAAACTCAATTGTGCCATGATAGATTCTCTAAGAGTGTCAGATGATGCAGTAAGAATAATGTCATCCACATACAAAAGAATATAAGCTATATCATTGCCATGATGATATATAAAAAGAGAGTGGTCAGAAATACTGTGAGAGAAGCCCATTGTAGCTACATAATCAGTAAAGCGCTGGTACCAGGCGCGAGGTGCTTGTTTGAGACCATATAGAGATTTCTTCAATAAACAGACATGATCAGGAAATTGAGAATGACGAAATCCAGGAGGTTGATGCATGTATACGGTTTCATGAAGGTTCCCATGCAAGAAAGCATTTTTAACATCTAATTGATGAAGACACCATGATTTAGATAAAGCAACACTTAGAACCGTTCGAATGGTAGCCGGTTTGACCACCGGGCTGAATGTGTCACCACAATCAATATCTGTTTGTTGATTTGCACCATTACCTACAAGGCGAGCTTTGTATCTCTCAAAAGATCCGTCAGATTTCTTTTTATGCCTGAAAATCCACAAACTTCGAATAACATTAGCATTAGACGGACGAGGAACTAAGTCCCACGTCTTATTTTCAATAAGAGCATCATATTCGTCTTTCATGGCCATTTTCCAATTTTGATCATTTAATGCATCAATGGGATTTGTAGGTAGAGGGGATATGGAGGTTGAGGTTGATGTATGGAGATTGAAGAGTTTGCGAGGTTTGACGATACCGTGTTGGGCTCTGGTTGTCATTTGAGGGGAGAGGGGCTGATTTTGTTGTGAAGGTGGAGGAGTCGGAAGTGATGTAGTGGATGGGGATGAGACGATATTTGGTAATGATGGGTTTAGAGGTGATGTTGTGGATGGGGCTGATGTTATGGTTGGTGAGGTGGGATTGTGGGAGGGTGACGAAGGCGAATTCAAAGAAGATGGTGATGGTTGGTAAATGTTTGTTTGAACTGGTGTAGTTAGGGGTGAAGTGCGATTTTGATGGTTAGAGGAGGGAGCACTATAGGAATAGGATGGAAGGAAGGGTGTGTCGTCATCCAAAAAATTATAACCAATCGTTGTAGGAACATTTGGATTAGAAAACGGAAGCTTAGTTTCATCAAAAATGACATGCCGGGAAATAAATATTTTACGGCTAGATAAATCATAGCATTTATATCCTCTATGATTTGAGGGATATCCTAAGAAGACACAAGGTGTAGACCAAGCTTGTAACTTATTTCTATATGATGAAGGGATGAGAGGATAGCAAAGACATCCAAAGACACGAAGGTGAGTATAGGCCGGATCTTTTTGGTAGAGTATTTTAGTGGGTGATTGAAGGGAAAGCTTTTTATTTGGAAGGATATTATGTAGGTAAGTGGCCATGTGTAGTGCATGATGCCACATTGATGGAGGTAAAGAGGCATGGGCGAGAAGGGTACGGATGATGTTGTTTATGGTACGAATTTTTCTTTCGGCTTTTCCATTTTGTGAGGAGGTGTGAGGACACGAAAATCTAAAAGACATTCCATTTTTTTTACAAAAATTATGAAACATAGTGTTATCATATTCTTTACCATTGTCACATTGGAAACATTTAATTTTTCTTTCAAATTGTGTTTCAATGTGAGTTCTAAATTGAAGAAAAATGGAATGAACCTGAGATTTTGTATGAATTGGAAAAGTCCATAAAAAATTTGTGTAATCGTCAAGAAATAACACATAGTAACGATGACCTTCTGAACTAAGAATTGGTGAAGTCCAGAGGTCGTTGTGCACAATATCAAAAGGCATAAAAGTACGAGACACAGAGCTATAAAAGGGAAATTTTATTTGTTTTCCAAGAGGGCATGAATTACAAAAGTAATTGTTCCGAGACTTATTACATTGGAGAAAGTTGTCTGTGTAGAGAACTTAAGATAGTAGCTCTTGGATGTCCTAAACGGTTGTGCCATAATTCTGTGGATATTGCGGCAAAGGTGGATGGTGGTAAGGTTTTATTAGGTGGTCTTGTGGCAATGGGATAGAGGTCACCAGAACTGTTACATCTCATTAACAGTATTCCTGTCTGAAAATCCTTCACAGAAAAACCAAAAGGATCAAATTCAACCGACACATCATTATCTATGGTAAATTTACGAACAGAGATAAGATTTTTTATGAGTTTTGGTGCATGTAAAACATTAGGTAATTTTAGTAAATGAAGGGAATTTGGTAATGATGCATGTCCACAACCAATTACAGGAATATTTTGACCACTACCGACAGTAATATTATTACTCATATTGAAATAGGACGAGAGATTACCTCCGTTGGCCGTCATATGCGAGATTGCTCCGGTGTCCATGTACCACTGATCATCAGGAGTAGAAAGTGAGAGAGTATGCATGGCAGCTTGAATATCTGTTGGAGCATATGAGGAGGTTGGCGCTGTGTTGGCGACATAAGCTTGATTTGGAGCATATGAGGAGGTTGGCGCTGTGTTGGCGACCTAAACTTGATGAGATGGCTTGGGACCAAGGATGCCGGGTTGTTCCTTTGGATTTCTTGCTGTTGGATACGGACAAGGTGGTGTAGCCCATGGTTGCCATGGCGGGGAGCTCCATTGTTGATATTGATTTGGGTATGGCGGATAAGCCCACTGCTGATGCGGGTAATATGGTGAAGGCCATTGCTGTTGCGGAGCACGACCTCCGCCACGTCCATTGTTTCGCCCTCGGCCTCGTCCACGCTGTCCTCTGCCATTGTTTCGGCCACCACGGTTGTGGTTACTGTTGTTACCGCGGTTAGGACGGGATGCCGATGAATTAACTGATGCGTCATTGTGAGACGCCATGAAAGATGAATTTTCGACTGAGCTTGACACCTTTTTCTGCAGTGCTGTTTCTTCCAAAATGATCATGGAACGAGCTTTATAGAACTGAGGAAGTGAATCAGCATGACGAATTTGAGATCCCACAGTAGCATATGCATCGGTTAGTCCCGAAATGAGTTGAAGAACTAAACGTTCATTCGATACAGGGGCACCAACATTAGCGAGTTGATCAGAGAGAGATTTGAGATGCTGACAGTAGGAGGAAGCATCAGAGAATTGCTCCATATGAGTTTGCGAAAATTCTTGCTCTAGGTAGAGAGCCCTAGAATTCTTGTTATCATAAAAGATGTCGAATAAGCGATTCCACGCTATTTCAGCGGTGGAATTATGTTCGATGATAGTGTTGAGAAGATCATCGGAGATTGTTCCATATATCCACTGCAAAACGACGGCGTCGAGACGAAGCCATAACTGTGGATCGGTAGTTTTGAGAGAGGGATCTGCGGCTGGTTCAGAGGGATTGATATGGTCAATTACTTGAAAAACTCGAGCATGAATTTTGAAAAGTTCTGACCACGTGTTATACATGCCCTTTTCAATGCTCAGAGTAATCTTGATGAAATTAGTAATATTTGGGACAGTGAGAGCAGGGTGAATCGGAGTAGGAGTGGTAGGTGGTGGAGGAGGGTCGGTATGACCGGATGATTTCGGGGAAGAGTTGTTGTTAGAGGAATCAGAAGTGGTAGTCATGGCTGTTTCGCGGTAGTTGAAGAGAAAAAGAATGAGGGATAGAAAGGAAGAAGGTTTACGGCTGATTTTAGGGTTTGGAACAAACCAAGACTGATACCATGTAAGATAATTTAGGCCGTGCCTTTTCATTCATGTGATAGTCATTTATATACACAGTACAAATATGTGGTTATGATTCTAATAATCATTGGTAATCAATACTAATAATAATCTTTCTATATTTACATATCTAATACCTGAAAATGAGTGACTTTCGGTCTGCCTTTAAAGATAGGGGCGCCAAGGTACATGAATGGCAGATTCCCAACAGAAAAATTCAGAATCAAAGCTAGCATATGATGTCTTTGAGAGGACATGGCACCAGCATACAAAATAGACTTAGAATGACTAATAAATTGGCCAGAAGCATCAGCATATCTGTTGAACAGCTCTTTAATAGCCACCACAATATCCTTGTTACCTTTAGAGAATATCATGATATCATCTGCGTAAAACGTGTGAGAAGGAACACGCTGATTTCTAGAAGCATTAATCAATTTGATGCGGCCCTTAGTAACGAAATCTGAAATACCTCTGCTTAACACGTCCTCCGCCAAACAGAAAAAAGTGGACACAACAGGTCCCCTTGCCGCACACCTTGCTTACACTTGAAGAACCCATTCAGTTGTCCTTGATGCATATGGAAATATAGGAAGATTCTAAGATAGTTTTGATCCAACGGTTGAACTTAGGATGAAAACCAAAGCGCTCCAAAACTCCAAACAGGAAATCCCAATTAAGGGTGCCATCGAAATGTCCACCTTCAGTGCAACATTACCTCCAAAAGACTTTTTTTCAATCAAATTAGCAACCTCAGAAGTTAGCCTAATGCAATCTCTAATGGATCTACCATGAATAAAAGCATGTTGCTCTTTAGAAATAATACTAGGCATCACCTTGGCAAGCCTATCTGCAAGTATCTTAGAGATGCTTTTCTGCTTGAAGTTAGAAACCGCAATGGGTCTGAACTGCTCAATAGAATCCGCATTGCAATGCTTCGGAATCAGGACCAGCTTGTTAGAATTATAAGAGGGAAGAACCCAACCATCTTTGAAGAATTGTAACGTCGCTTTATACACATCACTTTGGACAAAGTTCCAATAGGTTTGGAAAAAAAACGAACCAAAGTCGTCGTGACCAGGCGCACTCTCCTTATTAAGACTAAGCACTGCATAGAGCACCTCCTCCAATGTGGGAAGCATAATAAGCATGTCGTTAATTTGGCCATTGATCAACCGAGGAATAACCTCATCCACCATATCAAAATCCTGCAAAATAGAATCATTGTTAAACAAATTACGAAAATATTGCACAATGTGGTTGGCAATTTCCTTCGAGTTAGTGTTGACCAAACTGTCTATTTTCAAACAGTGAAGAAGGTTGGTGGTATTCCTATGCTTTGCCATTTTATGAAAGAAATTCGTATTTCTATCCCCATTGGGGTGTCAATTGACATTAGCCTTTTCTCTCCAAAAAAGATCTTTGATCTTGATGGCTTCATCCAAAGCCGATTGGGCTAACATCAGTGTAACCTTTGATATCAATGTCACTGTGAATAGCATCGAGCTTGACCTCCGCCATCTTGACATTGTCATGAATGTTCCCAAAGCTAGAAAAAATTCATTCTTTTAACCTTGGCTTTTTGCGCAAAATAAACATGGAACAACCAACAATATTAGAGTCCTAAACGGACTTTATAATAGAAGAGCAATATGGATGCTCGCTCCACATACGGTAATAACCGAAACTGTGATTTATGTGGGACAGTTTGGCAATTGAAGTCCAACATAATTGGGAAGTGATCTGAGTTTCTCTTAGTAAGCGTTGAGCAAGAAATCATGCTGCACATATCCAGCCACAATTGATTACAAATGGCACGGTCCAATCTTCTACGAGTATTGGCCCAACACCTTCTACGGTTCGACCAAGTAAAGAAAACCCCAGCAGTAGGAATATGAAATAGCTGATGCAAATTAGATCTTGGGAGTGCGAGAGCAGGTCGATGAAAGCCCTCATGCTCATGCACACCCAAAACAGCGTTAAAATCACCCATGCAACACCACGGCATATCATGTTGATTGAGCAGGCCCCTAAGGCTATTCCAAAGATTCCTACGAGTGACATGATTAGTAGAGGCATAGATGGATGCCATGCCAATTCTTTTATCTTGAATTTTGATGGAGAAAGAAATGACTTGATCAATAGTTTCAATAACATCGGGGTCCCAATTCTCGTTACAGATACACCAAAGATTGGGATCAAGATTGTTCCTAGTGTTGACGACAAACATTTTCAGGTGCAGATTGGTGAGCCAAGATTGCGGTCAATTGCTAACCTTCTTCCAAGGTTCTGAAATAAAGATAAACTGCGGCTTGTACAGCAAAACCAGACATAAAAAAAAAATATGCATACAAAATATTTAAATTGCGACATACTGTTGATCATCAAAAAATTTAAACCATACATGACTGAAAAATATTTCATGTTAATATTTGCGTTAATTTCTCTTTCAAAATAAATTGTCATGATATTTAATTAGCTAGAAACACTTATTCTAGATTGTATCTAAACATAATTTTGATATTCTTTCCGTCCCAAATTATTTTATCTTTTGATGATTTTAATTTATTTAAAAAATAAATCAGTTTTGTATGCAAAGGAGAAATTATATATAATTTTATAAAATTGTTTTTTATTAATGATATAAGAAAAAGAAAATAAAAGAATGAGGAGAATGGAGAGTAATTAAAGAGTAACTGATCGTACTTGATTAGAATGGACCCTCATAGCTTGTTTCGAGTAGAATTTGAGAGCGAGGTGGAGAATACCTACAAGACACTCTGATGTCAAAGTAACTTTCAAAATGAGCAAACAAGCAAGTGAGTCAGAAGTGTTCAATATCTTACTCTCTCGAAAGAGAAGGTATTTATAACCCCCAGTGCTGGACCAAGGTCTCCTCATTGGGCGGGTCAAGCAGGCCCAATGTAGAGACTGTCAGGTCCTACGTGAGTAGTGGGGACCCGCACGTGGTCCCCTATCTGGATGACTTCCTCCACAAGATCAGAAGGATATGGATGCGATCTTTTCGGGGTCATGAAGACTCTGTGATACTCAGAGATGTGATAGTCAGCCTTACAACGTGGATGCTCGTGAGGTGCTTCTGCTCGTCGTGGGTGCTTCCATCGATCGTGAGGTCGTGTGTCAGGATCAGTCTTGGTCGAGGAGAGAATTGGAGTGTGACCTCGAGGTCCTCATGATCGACGGTGATCTTCCTAAAAGTGACTGGATTTATCCCCGTGCGGTGAGGTTGTCTCCTCGCGGAGAGTGGAAGTTGCTGCCCGACGCAATCGAGGGCAAAACTGACCAGCATACCTCGAATGACATAGTTGGATTGGGCCTCGCATAGAGTTGGGCCAAGGGCAGACCCAGTCCAAAACAGGATCCCTCAAGTCGTTGCTCTTGATGAAGGCGTTATGACTTCATGTTCGGTTTTCTCTTCCGCGAGGTGAGCTGCTCGACGCAGAGCTTTCATTGAATTTTGACGGAGGAGGTCATCGGTACGTCGTTTACCCGAGCAGAGTTCAGAAAGGATTCGAGGTGGAATCGTTCTAACTGTTTCTCGACTCGCGGGGAGGAGATAGCGCACCTGTCAGACACGTGGCGTGACCTTTGGGATAGCAATGATGGGCTAGGGAATAAGGGCCATCATTAACTGAGCACGTAGGTGTCGAGGAGAAATGTGGCTTATGAGTTGCCCAACGCAATGTTTCGCATTCCACGTCATCTCTATAAATAGCGCTTCAAGGCCCACTATTCCCTTTTATATTTCCGCGCTCTCCATTCTCCCTGCTACCAACGCCGTGCTGCTCTATGCAACCGCTGAAACCGCCGCACAGTCTGCCGTGTATTCCTTATCTACTTTCGTCGTTCTTCATCTATTCTTCTTCAAGTAAATATTTTTCCCGTGATACTATGTATGTAGATCAGTTTTGATGATGTTTTAGTAGTAAGACTTCGCAACTGGGGGTTTTTCCCGAGGGATCCATGCGTTTAGGCGTATAATACGTGATTATGCCCAGGAGATTCATCTTCTCATCGATACTCAGATGAATCTTCCCCGTGGTCTCCCTATGTCCCCGCGAAACCCATGAGTTTTGCACATAAAATTGTTGCGATCCCCGGTGAATGCATGAGTTTGGTTGACGAATTCATGAGTTTGGTCGGAAAATTCATACTCTACCCGCCACGCTCTTCCCGTGCCCGGTGTATTCATGAAAAATGTTTGTCGTTACGATCGTTGTGTGATCTTACAAGACTGGCATGATTTTCATGGGCTGGTCGAGGGACATGTATTTCCCCTTTCTGCGTGAATGACTGTCGACTTGGTTTGGGCGTTGCTTAGCCTATTCATCTGCGTCGTGGAAAGATGGATTTGGATTTGCTGTCAAGTTCATTGGTTTCCTCTGCTTTGCAGGTAAATGGCCGACACTCCCGAATCGTCAAAGCATGTGGACAATGCGGAGACCAGTGTAGCCGAGGAGGGCGCCAATTTGGTCGACACAATCAACGATCCTACTTTGGATCTGGTTGGTGCAGAGCTCCGATAGCCTCGATATTTAGTCACACCAAGAGGAAAGCCTATACTATCGTCGAGTATGGCGGCGACCAGGAAGGTTTTCAAAGGAACTTCAAAATCACGAGGCCGACGCAAGATGCTCGCATATGCTCGGAGTTCACCCAAGATGCCTTCCCTATGTACGAAGTTGTATTCAAAGACCTGAGACTTTGACTTCCCTTCAACGACTTCAAAATAGGGGTGTTCAATCACTTGAACTTGGCACCCTCTCAGCTTCATCCCAATGCTATTGCCTTCATCTGGGCATTCGAACTTACTTGTCGGTTCCTGAGGATCGGGGCGACCATTCCCCCGTTCTTCAGTGTTTTTCATCTGCAACGGCAGTCCCGGGGAGGGAAACACAACTGGGTATCCTTCAAACAGTCGAAGAGGCTATTCATAATGTATATGGATTTTGTTCGCGACTTTAAGGACATGTGCTATGTCTTGTAACCCTCTACCCAAACAGCCTTGGATGCCCTGTTCGACCCGGCTTCCGTCGTGGACGAGGATGGAGAACTGTGCTACGACACCAAGGGTAATCCGGAGATTGGGAGAATCTCGAAGTTTCCCATCCACTGGTGTTCGGACCACTATGACCATGGTCCCGGACACTACCACACTTCTGTTGGCGGTATGAGCACCGAAGACGAAGAGGCATATGGCTTCCTCAATCGATTCGTCGACGGTTTCTTCCCTGCCAGGTGGGTCATGAGGGAGGGACACGACATCCTTGATGAAGACGGCGAGCCAACGCTCGAAGCACGCCCGATCAACACGAAGGCGCTCGTCGAGTGTTGATCTTATGGACAGTTCGTAGATCTTTTAGGTTTTTCCTTGATTCTTATGTTTTTACTTTCCTTCTTGTTTTGTTTTCCCGAGGCTGGCCCGAGGATACTTTTTTGTTTTGCAGGCAACATGGTGGAACGTCGCGAGAGGATGTTGAAGCTGACCCAAGAGAAGAAAAGCCATAAGAGGTTGGTGAAGCCGCACTAGCCTACACGTATGGGCTCAGCTTTTGATCCGGCCAAGGAAGGATCTAGTGGGTCGTTGGGGACCCATGTGGCCGACCGGCAAGTTGCTGCATTAGGCAGGAAAAAAAGTCGCCTGACAGTGGGACTGTTGATGTGACCGGAGGGGCCACTGCTCGAGCCTTTAGCCTCCCGCCTTGCTTTGTGGAGAAGGATTTCTTTGAGAGTTTCCCTCTAAGGTGTCTGAAAACGAGTTTGACATCATAAGGCGCCTCGACGATGAAGGTCGAAGGAAGCATTTTGCTTTCAGTATGGTCGGGGTGATAAAGATGGCGGAGATGGTCGTGGTCCTCGCGGGTGAAGAGGTCATCTCCTCTGGTCGGGTCAGGGAACTAGAGTCAAAAAACGTGACTCTTCAGGCGAAGACGCAAAAGCTAAAGACCGCCCTTGAATGGAGGAAAGAGATAGTTCAGGAACAGGTTGATGCTCTGGCGAGGAAGAAGGAGAGAGCTGACAAAGTCCTCGAGGAAAGGGCAACCTCCTACTCGAGAGAGAGAGTTGTGGGAGAGCGAGAGGGAGTGGTTGGAGAGGGAAGTTGGTGATCTGAAAGCTGCTATCGCGCACGCGGAGGATGAGCCCGAGAGTGTATGATTTGCGCACTCGCGCAGATTTCGTTGCCAGGATTCAGATCCTCAAGTCTGACTACGTCGATGCCTTGGACGACAGTTTTGAAGTTGCCCTGAACCAACTGTTTGTTCTGAACCCAGGGCTTAACACTGAAGGAACCGGGGTTCTATCCCAGGTGGTCGATGGTCGGGTCTTCCCTCCCCTTGATTCTCCCGAGGATGAAGTGGGCACTTTGAGGAGCGATTAGTGTTTTTCTTTTGATATCTGTTATTTGGGCCTGCGTGCCCGTAATTTTTTATAATATTTAGACATCATCGACTCTAGTGGTCGACATTTTATAATTGCTTTACTTTGCTTTGATGCCTATGTTTTTGCT